GCCGAGGCAGGGCCGTCGTTGACCAGTCGGCTCTCGCCGTCGGTGAGCTTGCTGGTGGTGAGGTCACCACCAGGGGCTCTCCACGACGAGGTGGACCCAATGCGCCAAGAACGGGCACGGGAGAAACTCGGAAGGAAGCTCGGCGGCGCGCATGGCGGGTCGGAGGCATGGCTCACCGACGACCGACCATCTCCGGTCGAGAAGGGGCGCGAGAGGTGGTGTGGAAGCTTCACCGAACTCGTGCGGTGTTTGTGCGCGCGAAGGGAGAGCGAGAAGGAGGACGGAGCGGCGAGGTCCATGGAGCGGAGTGCTCCGGCGAGCTCGGCCACAACTCCGACGAGAGATTCCTAGGGAGAGGGAGCTTCTCACGGCTTACCGAGGCGAGCACGAGGTGCGTGAGGAGGAGGCGGAGCTGCGGGCGAGATGGAGGGTTCAACGGCGAGCTAGGACGGCCGGGCGAGCGGGTTCCGGCGAGGCGCGGCACGCGGTGATGAGGGCGGGCGTGTGTTGCGGCTATTGCTGCTGCTGGGCGAGCGAGAGAGTGGAGCGGGAAGTGAGAAGGAGTGCTGCGCGGCCGGGAAGGTGAAGGCGCGACAGGAGGGCGCGGGGCAGGCCGGGGCTGCCGCGCGGCGTGCGTCGCCGGCGCATGGCGGCCACGCGGCGAGCGCGTCCTGACGCGGTCGGGCGCGGCGCGCGGGAACGAGCGCGGCGAGCGGACGGCGGCGCGGAGGCAGGCCGGGCCGGCCTGTGCGGCTGGGCCGAAAAGGAGGCGGCGGCCCAGTAAGGTGAAAAATCATTTTTCAATTTCTATTTTCAAGGAATTTTCAATTATCAGTTTTCAAATACCCTTTTGAGCAAGAAAATGGCTTCTTTTGAAAATGGTCCAAAAATAAAAGTTGCTTAGAATTTAATCCTCTACAACTTTGCTTTAGGGACCAACTAAAAATTTTGCATAGATTTTGAATTGGGAAGCAAAAGCTAAATAGAGGGGATTTTTGACCTTTTCCAATAATAATTTCAAAAGCATATTTTATCAAAAGTTTGAATACAAACTTTGCTCCAAAAATTGTGCTAAATAATTCTAGATGATTTATAATTTTAGCCAAACATGTTTTACTAACCTAGCAAGCATAATTAGGGCAAAATAACTCTAAACTAGTGTTTGCAACATTCATGTTTCACGAGCATGTTTCATATGTTTCGAAGCCCTGTTTCAGTTATTGTTTACATGATTAGGCATGTATGATTAGGATGCTTGATGATGCACAATATCCATAATTTGCAGTGCCTAAATGCTTGCATAACACCGGGGTGTTACAGCAGGTTGGAGCTAGATGGGTATTTATTATCTTGACACGTAATGATGGGTCTAGAAAAAAATCACCTATGACGAACTCCCACTATTAAGTTGTGTAACGAAGTAGTTTTCATGGAAAACAAGAGACAATAATATGATATATAATAAGGATCTATATATACAGCCATAAAAGATGTCAAATGATGTTACAAACACACAAAATGTTGACTTTTGGTTCATAATAGACATAAACATAATTAACAGATGAAACCAAATATTGGACAATACTTATGATTAGTAGATCAACATATACCAGAATTGGATGGGACCTTTTTCTTTTATCCCCTTGTGTGTTACGGTAGAACCATGGTTTTCATCGTTGGCATCAGACCTTCCTCTCAAGCGTCTGTTGGATCGCTTCCCCCCTGGACATAAAGATTGCTGGCAGACCCAAGAATTTGAACCTAGGGTGCACCTAGCAAAAATATATCGCAGTCAATATGGTGTATAATCGATATAATCAAAACCTAGCGGCAATTGAGCACCAGCCGAAAGGAGAGATAATTTGGGGACTAAAGTAGTATTGAAGAATGTTAGACTTTTAATTTGGACTTTCTAAATCAAACTAGTATTGATAATTTTGTCTAAAACATAGGGTAGGCCTGAGACTACCGAAAACAAGGCTAGATCTGCCCCTAATAACGATGATTTGATGATCTTCGATTGTTTACTCATGGCTCGCGCTCGCGCCATAGGACCTCAGTGAGTGTAGGTGGCAACGGTAACTAAATCGGCAAAACCGCAAAGGCGTCTTTGATCACCTTCCGCTATGGGCTGTGGCTTGGGCTTCTAATTTCATAATTGTTAGTAATTATATGACCCTCTAGGCCCAACAGTGCGTCTGTCCTCTATCTGATATTTGTCCAACAACACATCGTCTTCTTCCTTGCGATATGGGCACAAACCCTGCACAACAACATACGGCAGAGGTAGTCAAGCCTATAAAGGTTGTAGTGTGGGGGTCCTTGTTGGTGGGAAGGTCTGGTGATTGCCACACATCGGCATATTGGTGGATTCACCCTTGTATTGGAAAATAACACAACTTACTGCTACAAGTTTTTAGGGCAGTAACTAATAAGGGCTAGTTTAGAATGAAGTATTTTCAAACAAATTTCAATGAAGTGGTAAACTAGTTTTTGCTGATGCCATATACTGTTTGGAAAGGACTGGAGCTCCCAATTACTTTGGAAAGGTTTACTTTGCTCAACAAAGTAGACAATTGTTTACATCCACTCAGAGCCAAAGTTTTTGTGGAAGCTAAAGGCTTTCCCTTGCGCGCTAAAGCGAGCTTGCCTATCTCATCAACACATATAGCCACTCCGTTGCGCCCCCCTTGACTAGCCACCCACTCGGGCCCACTTGCGGTCTTGTACTCACTACGTCTCCCCCATTTGCTATTGGATGTGCCATGCTGCCCCAATCTAGGCTTTGCCGCTACCAAGCCTCACTATATATGTTGCACTGCTCGTGGCCCCACTTTGACACACCTCACTACGCAACCCCCTCCCGGCCACGTTAGCCCTTGCCTGCATATAGACCTAGCTGCGCCTAACCATGTTTCTAGTAGAGGAAAATGGAGAGAGAAGCGGATGTGGGAGAACAAAGCAGTTTTCCTTTCATAGACCAATGGCCCTATATATGCCCTATATATGTGTAAGAGGGTCATGGACAAAACATGTAACTAACAAATTATCATTAAGCACTAACAATGATTTTTATCATTCCTATGTTTTGTTTTCTATATATTTTCATGTCATGAATTCATGTGTTCCAAACACCTCTTCATACTCTTTTGTATGTTTTTCCAATCTTTTGCTTTGTTTTACTACTACACACCCATACTATTCCTATGTTTTTTTCTCATTCCTTTGTTTTAGATTTTGCATTCCAAATAGTCCTTAAGTAGGTGGAGGTAGATGTATTGTGGTATATATTTTGCTATAGTGTGACATCGCCACTAAGTTAGCGCTGACTGAAAGAATCCAATGCCGCTATGTTACCACCATGTATGTGATATATGTAATACAACATCCGATAACACTATATGTAACCAAACATTTTTATACTTTGTATGTATCCTATACCTCATACAATCTATGACAACCTATTATCATCCTATTGTGGATCTTTGTTATGGCTCAAGTACGTTAAAGATGCCGGAAAATCAACAATTCAGTTACTCAAACATGGCCAATCAATACATGTGCACCTGTTGTATCTGATCAACTAATTATGTTCCAATGCTACATTGTAGCATGTAGCATACACGACAAAACCCTCTAATCAATCAAGAGGATCCAATGTTATGCTATCCACATGTGCGATATGTAATACAACTTCCGATAGTATGAAAACCGGACAAATTTGTACTTTCTATATCCCACCGATAGATCTTTGATGACATGTCAGCCTATTTGTGATATGGCCTAAGTACTTTGAAGATGCTGCAAAAGTTAGCAATTTAGTTATATGAACATGGTCAATCAACGCATGTGCACATGTCATATCTTATATCAACCAATAACAGTTTCATGTTACAACAATATTGCAACATGGAGCTTACGCTACAAAGATTCTATGTTGATCGAGAGAGTCCAATGTCGTTAGGCTATTCACGTGTGCAATATGTATATCATAACTGTAATATAATAGAAGACAAAATTATACTTTCGCGTGTCAATCTATTTGTGGAATGACTAAGTACTATAAAGACGCCACAAAAATAGCAATTTAGTTACTCAAACATGGATAATCAACACATGTGCGCCTATCGTATATGTGATCAACCTATAGCAATGGTCTGATGTTAGGGCAACATTGCAAGATGTAGCTTACTCCACAAAGATTCTATGTTGATCAACAGAATCCAATGCCGTTAAGCTATCCACATATGTAATTGATAATATGTAATTCTGCATTATGACAGCTATATATTATACTCCTATATAACAAGTGTGCAATTCAAGGATATAGCTATCAAAGTAAGAACCAAAATAAAGATACAAGGATGACATTATGACCACAAGTGTGCTACCTCTTCTTAGGCACCGTTTGGATGCCGAAATTTTTGACGAAATGCTACTGTAGCATTTTCGTTGTTATTTGGTAAATAGTGTCCAATCATAGTCTAATTAGGCTTAAAAGATTCGTCTCGTGGATTTCGTCTAAACTATGTAATTAGTTTTATTTTTTATTTATATTTAATGCTTTATGCATGCGTCCAAAGATTCAATGTGACAGAGAATCTTGAAAAATTTGACATTTTGGAGTGGAACTAAACAGACCCTTAGACATTTAGGGTAAAACCACGAAGTAACATCAGTACATGCATTTCTCTCATTTCGTAAAAATGCCACAGCACTATTTCTGTCACCTGGCCGGTTGAAATTTTACCAAACTCAAGTGGGGCACATTAACCCCCCACCGACCAGGCCCCAAATAAACGCAGGCCCAGCCCTGACCGGTCGCCCTATATAAGCCAGAAACAGTACCCGGCCAGGGCTCATCTTTCCCCATTCTCCAACCAAGCCTGTCTCCGACACCACTGTCTCTCTCTGCTATCACATCACAACAGCAATAAAGTAGAGAAGCGAGTCAACGCTCCCCTCTTTCCTCCGCTGCCCAAGAGAGGCCAGGCGAACGAATGGAGCCTCTAGGTTGGGACGACCGCCGCGACGGCAACAACTGGGACCTGAACGCCGTACTGCGTCCCGGCTGCCGAGGTCCCATGCCGCCGCCGCCGCCGACAAGGACGGCCAACAACCCCCTCGCACGGTACGCCCCGCCACCACCAGCTCAGCCGGCTCATGCCGCCACTGTCTTCGTCGACGGCCTCGGCCATCAGGCCATCTCTGCGCTTCCTCAGCCGCAGGAGCTGGATCAGGATCTGCCCCACGCGGTAGGGTGGGGTCCGAGCCTGGATCTGCCGCTGCTGCCGAAGCCGGACTACACCGCAGCCGTCGGTACACCTGAACATCAGGCGCCGCTGAACCTACCGTGGCCGAGAAACGAAATTCCGGTGCCGTCCGTCCAGCGACCAGCCGGGAAACACAAGACGGCGCCTTCCGGCGGCTGTGACGCTGCAGAAGGGCCCAGCCGATCCAAGAAAAGGTACGACTAAATCTTGACTCTGGTAACTTTTTTAATAAAAAGAGGAAACATTCCTGGAAAGTGCCCATCCTATATGCTTATCACGTGTACGTCGTTGCTTCTGGTCCTGGCGGTACGCAGGGGCAACAGGACAACCAAAGATAGCAAGGTGGTCCTGGTGCTAGCCGAGGATCCGACGCCACCAGACTCGTGGGCGTGGCGCAAGTACGGGGAGAAGTCGATCAAGGACACCCCGTACCATCGCAGCTACTATCGATGCAGCACCGACAAGAACTGCAAGGCGCGGAAGCAGGTGCAGCGCTGCCTCACCCAGACGAGCTTCCTGGCCGTCTCCTACATCGGCGAGCACAGCCACCCGATGCCGCTGGTCCGCAACTGCCAAGCCGGCACCACTCACCACAAGCCGCCGCCGCGGCAGCCTACGTCGCCGTTCATCAGGATCCCCGCCAGGGAGAACCAGCTGCAGGCGCCTCCAGCTCCGCCGGCGTCCGCGTCGGCCTCGCTGCTGTCTGTTTCGGCGACGCCCCTCGGGATCAAACACGTGGAGCAGCCGCCGCAGGCTTCGGCTACGGCTCTGGCACCGTCCGCGTCGCCCATGATGCCCCCTACCACGCTGTTGCGTTCGCCGTACGTAGAGGTTTACAAGGAGGGGGACGACAGCCGCCCCATGCCGCTCGTCTGCAACTGCCTCATCTGCACGACCTGCCAGAAGACGCCGCTTCTGCTGCCTCCGTTATCGGTCATTGAGACCCCTTCCAGGGAGAGCCAACCGCAGGCTCCGGCTCTGCTGGTGCCCATGCCCTACTCGCTGTCACCCGACACCACGCTGCTGCCGTCGCCATTGCTTAATATCCTAGCCGTGGAGGAACAGCAGCAGACTCCAGCTCTGCCGCCGTCGGCATCGGCCTCGCTATCATCAAACACGCCGCTGCCGCCTGTGTCACCGCTCCTCAGCTTCCAAGCCGAAGAGCTGCCAACTCAGGTCCTGGCACCGGTTCTGTCACCGTCTGTATCCACTACGTAAAAAAGGTTTTGTAGGGGCGGGTGATGACTGTTTGCAGGGGCGGTTTGCCCAGCCGCCCCTATGCAAGGATCTCTACAAATCATGTATTTGTAGGGGCGGTTCTCAGACCGTTCCTACAAATCGATTTGTAAGTAAAAATTAATTTGTAGGGGCGGTTAGTACTGTAGCCACCCCTACAAATCGATTTATAGGGGCGGTCTTGGAACACCAACCGCCCCTACAAATCGATTTGTAGGGGCGGCTACAGTACCAACCGCCCCTACAAATCATTTTTCCGTAAAAAAAATTAAATTTATAATTCAAATTCGACCAGAACATATATTTTTCATGCACAACTCCATCATGACTTATCTTCTTCTACGATTGTACTGAAACTCAATGACAATACACATTTATTTATACCAGATTATAACAAATATTCCATGACAATACACGGTGCAAATTATTGTGCTTGTTGTTCATTTAAACTATGAGACTGCAGATAGGTATATGAAAAGTAATGTGAAAACCAATCTTCGCTCGATGCAAGTAACACAAGAGAGAACAAGACACACCCAGGTAGACTGAACAGAGAGTGCTGCTGAGACAGGTACATACAGTAGTATGAGCATGTAGTAGTGACTGTCGCTGTTGGTGAAGGTCCTGAAGAATTGAGACACCAAGTTCTTCTGTCTCCAACATAGTTCTTCGGCTCTCTTTAATTCTGTCAGTGGACTGATTCAGTCTTTCAGTTGTCATCATCAATCTTCCCCTCTGATCAGTAGACACCTGAGCCATGGGAGAGTACCCAAGGCCCAAGTATGACATGAGTAAAAAAAACTGTAAGAAGCCTGAGACAAAAGGCCTCAATAAATCAAACCAGCATAACCAAAATAAATGCAACAGGAATGTAGAGGCAGCAGTCCTATTGTACACTGACATCGAGGAATAAGAAACATAGGTAATCAAATCACTTTACTAGATATTAAACAACATTCCAAAACAACTAATGAGCTTATAGTGCCTTAAGTTCAGCTGGTGCCAGAACTATTTGTATTACTTGAGGAACATTTCTTATGTAAATAGACATTGACAGGTAACTTGCAATAAGGGCAATACTATCATGTGATTTACTTTTGTCAGACTAAGAACAGAAAAGTCATCCATCACATGTAAATTTCTTTTTATAAATGTAATGGTTCTATCTTATTTAGTGACAAACAGAATATTACAGAGATATAGGATGAGACAAAGGATTTCTTGCTTCTATCATGTCTTCCACTGTTTTCATTCAAAACATGTTAGATAAAAGATGTCATATCTGAAATGTCTGATCTTGCATCAAACAAATGGAATTCAGCCCAGTAACCAGATGGCATGTCTTTGTCCTACCCAAGGATCAGCTGTTATGGATCATAATGTATAAACAAACATAGAGCCAAGAATTCAATGAAATAGTTGTTCAAGCACAAAGCATATGTAACATGACTGAACAATCAAGGAGATGATAGATCAGCAGTCGTATCTTCCAGCTATATTAAATGGCTAGTGAGAGAATCTAAAGAAAGCACGAAATGAATGTTGTGTTAAAAATTTATTTAGATACCGGAGATTTAGACCTTAACTTATTAGGTGCCATTCATGGAAACTACAAACTCCATCACAAACCAAAATAAGTATTGAGAACAGGATGCAACTAATATTGCTGTGTTATTAATTATTATAGTTCTGCGACAAAAAAAGAATCCCAGACATTTGAAAGCCAATGATCCTTTATTGGAAACTACTACACAATCAATAGTTCTACTTAAATGAGAATAGCATAGTATCAAGAACAGTTAGTGTAAAGAAATAAGCAGAGCAGCAGACCAACCTTGTTAAGTGTGCGAACAGCTACGAATCTGAGAACATGTTTGGATGAACTTAAGAACAACTGCAGCACAGTAATTTTCCTAACATGTTTGTGTAGGGAAAGGCGCCGCATCTTTTTTTTTTCTTGTTAGGGTAAAAGATAACAAACAACATAATGAAAATGCATATGATACCAAACAAACAAAAAGTAAAAGATAACTCAATGTTGCACTCTTATCATCTGTTGCTCCCTATATGCAATAGAAAAAAAAATAGCAGATTCAAAACATGTTCTTTAGCCTTGACACAGCAAAAGACAGTTCTGTATCCGTCACTCCAGAGCACTTGCTCAAGCTTAACTCCCTTAAAGAAACACAAGAGGTTCCAATAGCTTTTAGTCCATCAGTCATGAATTTGCAGCCTTCCAGCTTCAGGGTCCGCAGTTTAGGAATCTTTTGTAAGCTTCTCACCATAGAAGGAGTAACCTGATACATGAAGAATGTAAATTAAGCTGTGAGGGCTCAAGTTACGCCCAGGTGATACAATAATACGAGTAGATGATTAGCTACTTACAGGACAGCAGTATGAAAGATCCAGTTCCAATAGATTGGGTACCGACTTCAGCATGGATGAAACTCCCACGTCAGTGATATTCTGACACTGAGACATATCAAGCACCTGCAATGGTGCAAGCATGTGAGTTCAGTAATAAGCAGAGCTCTATGAACACTGTTTTTTTTTAATTATCAAAAATACATATTTTAGTACCAGTGACTAGTTCAGACAAGGCATCTGCAGAGTTCAGAACCTAACAGTGTAAGATCAAGAGAAATAATACCACTATAGTGTTTGAAAAGAAGCTGATGTGTGATTGCTAGTAACAAGCAAGTCAATAAAAATGGCAAATTACCATGAGCACCTCACCTGTAGTGATTTACTGCATTCTTTGTCAAGACTACCAAGAGCATCATCATCAATTCCAATACACCCCACCAGTGTCAACTGTTGAAGATTGGGTAGCTTCATGATGGCAGGAAAACTATCCTTTGTGATCTGCAACACAAGATACGTTTCCATTTTATTATTACTCCAGCACAATATGATAAGTGGGCCGGTAGGCACTAGGCACAAAGCTGCAAGAGAAACTAGTTGGCTACTAGTACCGCTCTGCTGATCCATTGTTGCAAAGATGATTTGCCATGTTTATAGATAAGAACGCCTGCAGATCGAGAATACTATACTACCTATACACTGAAGTGGCCCAATGCCCTAAGCACTAACTGAATAAATTAGATTGAACAAATGATGTACTAGTAACTGATGAAGGTAGATTTCTAGCAAAGGAAATAACTGAAACCCATTTCTCTCTGGTGAATTAAAGAAATCAAATCAAGAAACGTACAAGACGGAAACAAAAGACAGAATCATCCGTCGCCTTTTGTCAAGAAACAAACAGAGAAACTCTCAGCGCTCACCATGGTGTAGGAGAGATCCAGTCTGGTGAGCTTCCGGCACTTGAGGGCCAGGAGCTGGATCCCCAGATCCGAGACCCCAAGGCACCACTTGAGCGAGAGCTCCCTCAGCTCCGCGCACCCGACGGCGACGCACCCGACGCCCATGTCGGAGAGCGGCTTCCACCTTGCCAGTGAGAGCCTCCGTAGGCCCTTCGTCCGCGCGACCTCGGTCGCGGCGGCGTCCCCGAGGTCGACCCCATTGGAGAGGTCGAGGCCGGTGAGGCCCGGGCACGACGGGGCGAGCACGGCCACGCCCGCGGCGCCGAACCCTAACAAAAAAGATGCTGAGGAGAAGGGAAAGGCCGGAAGGGAGAGGGGAGCTGAGGAGAATGAACTCACCTCCTCGGCGTGTTCGTGGCACTCCACCTCCTCGAGCAGGCCACCCGCGCCGGTGCGCCGCTGAGCCCGGGCCAAGGCCGGTTCCGCGCCGAAACCCTAGGTCGGCGTGGCGGCGCGCCGGATGCCGGCCGCCCAGGCCGAGGTGTCGCTCCGCGGGGAGGAGAGGCGGAGGCGGCGCTCGACGGTGTCGACGTCGGCGCGCAGCGGAGGCGACGGCAGAGGGTGGCGCGGCGGACGCCATGGGAGAGAGCGACGCGAGGGAAAAGCCGGAAGCGGTGTCTCGGGCTGAGGTCGAGAGGACGAGGGAGATATTTTTCTCTCCAGTAGGTATATATGCCGCGGGCATTTGTAGGGGCGGCTCAATCACCAGCCACCCCTACAAATAGCAACTTTGGGGGCGGTTGGTGAGTGAGCCGCCCCTACAAATCAGACATATTTGTAGGGACGGTTCGTATCACCAGCCGTCCCTGCTGTTCCATTTATAGGGGCGGCTGGTGTCTGAGCTCCCGATTACGCTACTGTAGAGGCGGCTCCATCACCAGCCGCCCCTACAAAAAAATTCGTCCCGTTGCTACAAACCGTTTTTCACGTAGTGATCGACCCTGATGTCGCCTAGCACGCTGTTGCCCCTGCCATCCGTAGAGTTCGACAACGAGGAAGACGATGACGCCATCGCCGTCAGAATGCAGATCAATGACATGGACATGACTCCCGAGGATGCCCTGATGTTTGTTAACACTGAAGAAGAGCCCCTAGATGGCGTTGGCGACAACCTTCTGATCCCGACGCCTGAAGAGCTAGCACCGTTCTACTACGGTGATGAGGAAAACATGCTATTCCCGATGGCTTATGAGCCCACATCAGGAGGCAGCGGCAACAATAGCCTAATGTTCCCAGTGCCCTACGAGGCCGCCGCTGAACTAGGAAGCAGCGGCAGCGATGGCAGCACGTGGATGGTGCTGTGAAGTATTAGTGGATTGCTCACATCTTCTAATCGCTTAAACTTTTAAGTTCACTTGGTTGGTGTACGAAACCTAACATGGTATCAAAGCCAGAGGTCTCGAGTTTGAGTCCTGATAGAGGCATATTTTAAGTCCTCCGCTCCCTTCTTTATTTCCACGTGGCTGCACGTGAGTGGGAGTGTTGTAAAGTATTAGTGGATTGCTCACCTCTTCTCAATCGCTTAAGCTTTTGGGTTTATTTGGTTGGTGTATGAAACCTAACAGACGAGAACTGGAGCTGGGACGGCACCCCGTGTACAACCACCGACCGTGAATGTCGTCAACGAGATCATCTTATGAGAGGCTGTCGCCGCTGTAGCCTGCAGATGCGAGCCACTTGGAGTGGTAACATGTGCATAAATTGCCATGCGCAGTATGCTAATGTATGTGACTCCATGAATGAAGTAGCTAGATAATCAGAGTAGTTGAATGATAGCGATGCGAAAGGGTGTGTGCGAGAGAAGAAATCGAATACACTAATACAGTATTCTCAGTACCAGTGTGTCTAAGTAAGTATCTTTGATGAAGTTTAAACTAAGTAGCAAGTTCTACCTTAATTATATGGTATTGTAATGCACATTATCCGAATCAACAACTTATATTTTTATATTTAGTTTGCTTTTCTTGACATATTAATAACCTATATGTTGTTTTCCCTACTGCCTTTATGGGTTTCCTTGTTGTGCTACATTATATTGTGCACATCTATATATCATATATACATGCTCCCCCTATCACACAAAAATAGTGAAATTTTAGATATCTCTATGGTCCACAAAGCACAACATTCATTGCTGACTTCACCTTACCTATAAAACCAAAGAAATGCATACCGGGAATAATGCATCGCACCCCTAGTATTTTACCTTAGGTCTGGGCCCAAATTTTATTCTTCCATCTCTTTCCTTTCTTCTCAAGCTCCAGTGACCATTTTTAGGGTTTGGAGTTTGAGGGAGTAGGCATATCTATGGCTAGCAGGCCTAGAGGTAATACCATGGTGTAAGGGTAACCAATATTGGTGCTAGTCAATACGGCAGGTCGCTACTGAGAATCGGTTTGGTTGTGGAGGCGGTCAAGGGGACCATTGCCAATGAGTTAGCATGGGAGTGCTCACAATGGAAACAAAGGTGAGGCCACACACCCATATCAACACTAGGAAATAGGGTAGCAAGAGAGGAGAGAGGGGTGGTACAACAACTTGTAGGCAGGGTCCACCAGCACAAAGGGACATCGCTAGAGAAGTAGACGGCTGGTGATGATGCGTGCTTGTTGGACAAGTGGATAGAGCGAAGGCATACAGAGCAAGAGAAGAGATAACATAGAAACATGGTTGATCACACTATTGATTCTGGATTTGATGGTCCGAAATTCGGGCCTAGACGTGAGATAGATGGTCACCATAAGATGATATCAAGATTTAAGTAGCCATGTGATCTGCAACGACTTGACGAGCGCATACACACACCTTACCAGACATGCATACCATAGTAAAAAATTCACAAGTGCTAACTGGTTGGCATCTTAAAATATTTTTGCCAGGCAAGTTTGGAGGTCCAACGACCATAGGCTATATATGGTAACAGCACAGTTCTTGGTTACTACCTCTATCATTTCAAATTACAGGATGTTTTGGCTTTCTTTAGATACATAGCTTTTGCTAGCTATGCACTTAGGTATATACTATGTCTAGATACATAGTGAAAACAATTTATTTAGAAAAACCAAAACATGTTATAATTTGGAACGGAGGGAGTATTAAGCAACTAGTCAAAACTATTCAATTTACTCCCTTGATTTTAAAATAATTCAATTCCTAGAATCAACATAAGTCAAACTATCTTAACACTACGTGAGAATAGCACTTCACTGCCGGTTCAAAATACCCCGTCACTGTCGGATTTTGAACCGGCACAACCATATCGGTAGTGATGAGGGTAAGCTATCACTGTCGGTTCCTATAAACCGGCAGTGTTCTTCAACTTCACTACCGATTCTTTACATAACCGGCAGAGTTCAGTTCCACCAACACTGCCGGTTCATAAGACCACCCGGTAGAATTCAGTTCCACTAACACTGTCGGTTTGTGTTTCAACCGGTAGTGTTGTCGTAAGAATCACTGCCGATTTGTGACAAGAACCGGCAGTGATGGCTAAGCCAACGCTGCCGGTTTATGGCTCCAGCCGGCAGTGCCATCACTGCCGGTTTGTTGCTAACCGGTAGTGATGTTTATGACAACACTGTCGGTTTTCTGCTAACTAATAGTGATGTCACATTCGTATTTTATTGTTTTATAATTTATTTTAATTTATATTTTTTTATGGAATCGGGTTTCACTTTTATATACGCTACGTAGAGGACAGGTCCATCAATATTAAACATTACAAATGTTACGGTTACAATTCAAATGTTCTTATCAAGATCTCGATCCCTCAAAATAAAAAAGAAATGTTCTCGGACTTCACAGATTGTGCAATGCTTCTCGGACTTCTTACAATAATTTGGCGAGCCGCTCTAGGCCATACTGGTTCTTGAACTTCATGGATTGTACAATGAAAAATGCTCCATCTTTTTCCAATACCTCGGCTAAGATGAATTTTGCCAGCTCCGATTGCATCGCGACGATCTCCATGTCTAACAGCCTTTCATGGTTATATTCCTTGCGTTGTCGTTCAAAAAAGATGATATCCAAAGAGGAATCAGTAAATCATTTTGTTGAATGATTAACAGACATAAATGAAATGGAGATTATACACACCAACTTATCGGCTTCTTCTGATTTTCCGCCGATGTAGCGAAGCATTGCCCACATTACATAAAACCCGCATTCATTGTTTCTCGCCGGCTATTTTAGGTACTTCCCCTCCATTTCGACAACCTTGAATGGGACCTGCGTCCCACTGATATGTCTTCTTCGGACACTGAGCAACATTAAAAGGAGAAATGTTAGAAAGCGATATGTGTGATTAGAAAATAATATGTTATTAGGATCGATTACTAATTCAGCACTGCCACCAGTGCATCCAGATGATGAAATGGTTTTTTTTCGAGTCCCACACCTCGATCAGATTTTTTTGGCAAGATTAACACAAATGAAGACGAAATGGTGGCTGTAATCACAGAATGCTAATTATCGAATAATCTTAATGAAAAAAGAAGCATAAAATTAAAAGCCGAGAACACATACTCGCAGTTGTAAGCTAGAAGTATATGGGTTTTGTTCTTCATCTTGAATTCATTGAAAACAGCAATCAATCTCTATTTCAGGTCTTCCATGTCACATCCATGGAGGCCTAGACATATCTTCTCATTGACTCGCAAGGGGTCCAAGAAGCCTATGTTATCCCATTTGCTTTTTAGAATATAAAATTTTGCTATACATCTACATAACATCATAGGAAGTGCTCAAAAGTTAACAATTTGTGTCCCGAGAGAGTACTTAATTGTAATATCATGCGTGTAGGGTACTTACATAGTCCACAGCGTCAACATTTGTGTATCAAGAGAGCGTTTCTGGTATAGTTGGAATAAGCACTCACACTCGACATCGAACTTCTCTTCTTCAAGATAATGAAAAACATATGGCGAATGGATAATAACCTCAAAACCAAAGTCCTCCGTCTCTGTTGTTTGAGCCATGTAATATTCATGCAACTGGCGCATATATGTTGTCAAATTTTTATACTCGTGATCGGGAACCAAAAGATTGCCCCTTTCATACTTCATTGTCGATGTTCCCGTCCCTTGTACATCATAATAGATGTTAATTCGGAGTTGTCTTCGACGAACTTCTATATCTTCCTTAAATCTTCATTGTGTATTTCATCGGCTCTTGTTGTAGCGTACTGATTCTGTGTTTGCCTTTCGAATTCAGACTTCAATAAAAATTGAGACAGTGAGGCACAGAGATTGAAGAAACTAATACAATCTTCCTTTGAGACGTGTGCTGTAAATTTTCCTTCTATCAAGTTTGTAACGCTGCCACTGAACAACCTTTTTCTTTTTTGTTGGTCCACTTTGGGAGCATTAGCGACCGAATCCAAGGACCTTTTCCGCGACTGTGAGGATGCCTTTGATCTTGTTTTGGGCTGATGTGGAGGAGGAGGAGGATGATGATGAGAATTCTGTTTTCCCAGGGCTGATGAAGATGGAGGAGGAGGAGGAGTCTTCTCTTTTCTTGGGGCTGATGAAGATGGAGTCGGACGAGGAGGAATAGAAGGAGACCTCTGTCTTCTCGGGGGTGATGGCAAGGGATGAGGAGGGGAGTGATCTCTATTGGGAGATGGTGAGTGATCATCATGGGTGGGCGAAGACTCGTAGTCGTCCTCATCATTAGAGGATAATTGGTGGTCAAGCTTAATGAAGCGCTTGCGCCAGGCCACTTGAGAGCCCTTGTTATGACCAAGTTTTGGCCTGTCTTCCGCTATGGGGTACTTAATGTGTATCTTGTTATATTTTTTATCAAGTATTCTATCAATGGTGACGCGAGCGTACCCCTGTGGAATTGGGCAGCCATTAATGGTCCCGTCTCCCGTAGGCCAGGCCTGGTGGAGCGCCACCTTGTCCTTTGTCCATTCCTGACTGATGTACAACTTGACATTGATGGGTTCAGTGATGCCCTCCACCGGATGACGCACATTCGCATCTTCTTCGTCGAGCGGGGTCGATCCGCAGCTGCTGCGACCCCTAAACTATGGGCTAAAGGCAGTAGGAGTAGGGTTTTGTGGTACTCCTGACCCCTTAGACATCAAAATTTGCGGGACTCGTGCTTCAACAGTCGCCTCAATCCATGCGTCCATTCTTTCTTCCATCTCTTTTAGTCGCCTCAAATACTCTGCCTCCTAATCCGCTCTACCACTCGAGCGGCTTCGGTAAGTGTTAGATTCTTGGGGGAATGCTAGTTTCCAAGGAACAACATTGGTTCCTCTAGTGCGACCAGGGTGCTCCTTGGTTTCGAGTGCTTGGGTGAGCACGTCTTTGTCCCTATTAGAAGTGCGAGTCCCTTGCCTCACCTCCTCAATTACCTAGGAGATCCTCTAGATGAGTTCGCACATGGGTTGATTTGTGGAGCTAAACCTCCCGTCCTCTGCGTGGCGTACATTCCTCCCCATACAGTATATTACCGATCTTGGCTCCCAATCGACTGTCTCAACCTGAACGCCTTCCTCAGCAAGGCGATCCATCTTTTGAAGTTCTGCTTCAAATTCTAGCTTCTTTTTGGTGTAGCCACGAGAGCCGAGATGATGAGGATTTATCGCTTTCAGCGAGTTCTCCTTATTCTTCCTGCTTAGTTCTAAGTACTC